GTTGCAGGTATGGGGGAGACGTGCTGGTGGTCAGGATTGGAGGCAGAGCCCCCTGAGGGAAATGGAAGGGGTTGAATCAGAAGCCTTAATGATCGATAGGCTGGGAGCTGGTGTGCGTGGGGAGAAAACACCGTGGTTTCTCAAATTCTTTCTCGGTCCATTCGGACGATGACGTTTCAATCTCCCTTCAGTTTCAAAGGCCTGGATCTTCCTTCCTGGAATACAGACTCCCGGAGGGCCAGGAGCCGGCTCTCCTCTCCTGTGACACCCCGCGTGCCCAAGACTGGCTTCCCGGCGACACACGGCAGGCGACCCTCCCTGCCGCGCGCACACTCTGTTTTCGTGGTCTTCTGCTGACCCCCGAGGTGAAGATTATAAAGCAGGTTGTGCTATATACTCAGGACATGAGTTTATAGACATTCTTCTGAAAAGCACACCAATTGAAATGGAAAATTAAGAAACATGACTTTGGATATTGAAAAAGTCACGGACACGACCGGCGTATTTTTTCGAGATTCCCTTCTCCTCCGTTCTGTGGAATCGGCTCAGAGTATGCTTTTTAGAAATATCTGATTCTGAAGCGCATGTGGCGAATTCAGTTGGCGCTCCGACTTGCCAGGTCACGATTCATGTCCGTGAGTTCAAGTCCAGCGATGGCTCTGACAGGACTCAGGAGCCTGGAGCCTGTTCCGATTCTGTGTCTCCCTCTCTGCCCTCCCCCCATGCTCTTGTCCTCTTCCAAAATAAATAAAAAACGCTGAGAAAAAAAATTAAAAAAAGAAATATATTCAGGCCATAATCTAGGGCTCTGGGTGGCTAGCTGGCCATTTGTCTGACTCTTGCTTTGGTCTAGGTCATGACCATCGGTCTGTGGATGGAGCCCCCATCGGCTCTGTGCTGTCACGGAGAGCTGCTGGGATTCTCTCTCTCTCTCTCTCTCTCTCTCTCTCTCTGCTCTTCCTCTGCTCGTGTGCACTCACTCTTTCTCTTTCCCTCTCTCTCTCAAAATAAATAAACTTAGAAAAAAAGGAAGACTTAAAATCTATATAAATATATTGGGGGCTGGGGGGAGGGACAGAGAGAGAATCCCAAGCAGGCTCCATGCTGCCAGTACAGACCCCAACGCAGGGCTTGATCCCCCGAACTGGGAGATCATGACCTGAACTGAAATCGAGAGTCGGATGCTAACCGACTGAGCCACCCAGGTGCCCCAGAAGACTTTTGTTTATATGTCAAGTGTACCTCAATAAAGCCAAAATTTGTCAAAAAAGAAAAATTTGGGCTAAGTGCAAATACGCTACATGCTGAAGGTTTTCACACATGCTCCGGCAGAGATCCGAGAGGGGTGGACCCCCAGCCCCCTTCCCAGAACGCAGCCGTCAACGGGAACCCCTCGCTCCCGGGCACCTGCTTCCCAGGCGGTGGCCGTGAACTGTCGGGGTTCTCTCTGCTTCTGGTGCGGCGGGAGGGCACGGCTGGGGTGGACGGGGCTCTCGCTGGCCCCCGCTCATCCTGTTTGCCGCCCGCCCCCTCCCCGCCCCCGGCCAACCTCCTCATCTTTGAAACCAAGGTCACCTCGAAGGTTAAACAGCACACCTTTCATAGACTACAGGTGTGCAGCAAAGGCTGGACACTTGGCAGGACAATTTTTCCCCTAAATTCAGGTTACTTGACGGTTTCAGATGAAGCCATCTCAACCTATTTTAGACAATACTGAATTTTATTACAGCATAAATCGTGGGGCCAAACTGACAGTGTTTCCCTCGTGCCCAGAAATGAACTAGTAGGAAAACTAATTGCTTTTGGGGTACACTTGAGTTCCACCCCCGCCACGTTTCCCCCTTTGAACACCCAAAACTAAGCTGAGTCCGATGCCCCCATTGCTGGGCCGAATACGTGCACACGGGTCGTAAACCCAGTACAAAGGCCGTTCTAGGCCCTCCAAGAGCCAAGCGATCCTCGTTCGGGATGCGTTTCTATTGCGGAGGTATGGTCAGTTGCCTCCCGCGATACGTTTATGGCATCACGCTCTGGGGATTCAGTGACAAGTTTAGACACAGGATGCCCTTAAGGAGCTCAGTGTGGCTCCTTGAAGAAAGGAGAGGTGTGCCAGCTTGGGGGAACAGCTCAAAGGCAGGGAGTTGTGGGTGTAGGCGATGGTCGAGGGAGCTCAGCCTGGGACAAGTGCGTGGGAGACACAGCCAAGGGTGAGGGTGAGCCCAGAGTTGACCGTATGGCGGGAAGCAGGAGGGGAGGGCGGGCCGTGGACCAGATGGGAGGGTGCTAAGTAGTAAGTAGTAAGGAGAGCAGAAGGAGAGAAGGCAAAGGTTGTGGTCCGGTCAGGACAGTAGCAATGGTTGGGAGATCGCAGGGTGCTGGGATCTGGTGACCCCTGGTGGGGAAGGTCCCAGGACCAAGCCCGGGCTTGGCTGCTGCACCAGGTGACACAGGGGTGGGGGCTCGGTGATCACAAGCGATTTGACATGGGCCCCACGTGACATGACTGCGTGGCGGTCAAGCGAGGACCAAGGCGGGAATTTATCATGGACACAATGGTCTTCTTCTTGGGAAATCAGAATGGTTTTCAACCAAATTCTTTTCCTGAATATTTGGTCCTTAAAAACACCTGCAAATACCCTCACTTCATATGCAAATTACTATTATTACAAGCGTTGAAATTAACATCAATAAAGAAATGGAGGTTTCAACTGAACTTCTTGGACCGGCCTAGAGAATATTCAGTAAGAATATAAAAGTAACGTGCTAAACCAACTGTCACACTGTCATCCAGGGGTGGCTCTTTAAGGAGGGAGCCATTATTCTATGCACAGATAAAACACTAGGTTTTATTGTTTTTTAAAAGTTTGGTGGGGTAGGGGTGCCTGGGTGGCTCAGTCGGTTAAGCGTCCGACTTCGGCTCAGGTCGTGAACTTGCGGTTCGTGGGTTCGAGCCTCGCGTCGGGCTCTGTGCTGTGCTGACAGCTCGGAGCCTGGAGCCCGCTTTGGATTCTGTGTCTCCCTCTCTCTGCCCCTCCCCTGCTTTCTCTCTCTCTCTCTCTCTCTCAAAAATGAATAAACGTTAAACAAAATTTAAAGTCTGGATGGGTACAGAAAAACACACGCACACTAATAGGTTAAAATATGCAAATAAAATTTACTGCAACTTTTGTAGAATTCAATTTGTGCTACAAGACATGTTGCATAGGAAACTACTTCAAGCCCCTGAGGAAAAATATCCACGGTTTAAGGTGCAACTGGGTTTGTCTCTTCTTTGGGGAGAAGGTGAGAGACAATCTCTGGGAAGAATGAGGGTGGACAGGGGGAGCAGAATTTAAGGTTATTTCGTGTGATCATTGGGGAACTGCGGGTCCTGCTTCTTGCAGCATAAAAAACGTAGTTTTTCTAGGTGTTTTTCTTTTTTTTTTCCTAGCCAGTTGGTCTTCAGTATCTGAGTCGACAGGTACATAAGAATGTTTCAGCCCGATAGGGATCGTAGGCTGATTACACCCAGTGATCAACATGATGTGTTTCAAAACAGCAGATTCGGAGAACGAGGTCCAGGAATCCCAAACCGCCCAGCACGGGTGCTGACCCATTCCCAGGAATTCTCTCCATGCGCCACATAATTCCAATTCTTCAGTCCTGCCCCTTCCTCCCTTCTGAGCTGGGCGCAACCACGGTGCGATCAGGGGCCCGACACCGCTCGCCCGCACACGGCCACGCCGATCTACAACCGTAAAGGCGGGCAGCATTCTGCCTCTGGTTCCAGGCGGGGCACGTTTTCATTTGTAGAAAACATACATCCTGCTCGGATAATCTCTAATTGTACAAAAAAAAAAAAAAAAAAAAAAAAAAAAAAAAAAAAAAAGGTGTCCCTTAACGCGGTTTTTTTCCTGGGGGACATGGGTACACCAGGAAGGGAGCGGGGTTCACGTCACATGGAACAGAGCGGAGTTTGGCCAGTGACGGCAGGCACGTCTGCACACACACGAGCACAGGGGTCCCTCGTGGTGAAGTCTCCTTCACGCCCATGGAGCAGAGAGGCCCGGAGCCCTGCCGGAAGCCTTCCCCTGCCCCCAGGGTAATGGCATCTGAGAGCTGCAGGGACCACCGCATTGCACGTGGCACCGTTCTCTTGAGTGACCGACCGCACGCAGGTGGGGGCCACAGCGAACGCCAGCTCCCAGCGGCCCGTCATCTCAAGGGCACCTGCTGGCTCGTGCAGGATTTTACTTTGCCCACTGAAGCTCACGGAAGGGTCACAAGTGCTGCCGCTGATCGTTTACTGTAACACGGGGCAAAGGTACAGAAGCGAACAGGAGTTCAGAGGGGACAGCAGGGCCCAGGACATTCCCAGAAAGGACGGGCAAGAGCTAGATTCATCTACCGAAAAACCACATTTCCTATTTGATTCACCCTTTCCACAAGGACAGAGCAAAAGAGGTCCAACACCGGAACAAGCGTCTCTCTGTGCTAAGTGTTCAAATGCAAAGTGAGGCTGGGAATCGCCTTTAAATACATATATACATCTGTAACATAATTTAAAAAGGTCTCTCTAGAACATAAAAACCTCAACAGCATCCGCCCCTATGAAGGTGTTTTGTTTTGTTTTGTTTTTTAAACTTTCCTGGTCCATTAAAAAAATTAGATACCACCTGTCTCATAGGCCTCCCCCCGTCCTAAAAAAAAAAAAAAAAAAGTGATTTTAAATTTAAATTTATACCTAACAAATAGAAAGCTATTTTGGTTGGCGACGACCTGTGGTAGAAATTCTCTTCAGCACCCCCTCTCCCCCCTCAACGGAGGAGGACGACGGAGCATTGTCTGTGCTTGGTCCTCGGGGGCGGGTCCAGCCGAGAGGGACCCCGGATGTGTCCGAGCAGCCGGCCCGTCCTGCTTCCCCCGCTCCAGGTGACTGCCTGGGCATCTGGGACAGACGGGGGGCGGTGGCGGGGGGGGGGTGCATGCCCCAGAGCAGCAGCGGACGGGAGGGAACCCGCTCAAATGACAAAGTCGTCATGGTCCACAGGACTGAAGGCCGCTGCCCTCAGGATGTCCAGGGAGTTCACCAGGATCAGAGTCCCCGTGAGGTGTTTCCAGCGCTTGGTGATGGGGTTTTTCATTTTGTCCAGGCCTATGTGCAGCTCCTGGATGACGTCCCGGTAGCTGTCCCCGATCTGGTGGCTCCACGTCAGTAAAAAGTCATAGGCGGGTTTCCACATGGCCTGGGTGGCGGAGTCCAAAATAAAAGGAGGGAGGGGGAAGAAAAGGTTAGGGGACAGCAAAGAGATTTGATCCTATTGATTCGATCCTCTTACCCGCAGCTCCTGGGCTCATTACTTATGCTTCTCTTTTGAGAGTGAGAAGCCCAGCGAAGCAGGGGGGACGGACTCTGCCTGGGACCAGCACACTGAGGGAGGAACGTGTTTCGTGCGAGAGCCGGTTAAGTGGCAAATCGTGTCTGGGCCAACAGGAAGGATTTCTCTCCTTACAACCCCTGTGGCATTTTCCGTGTGGGCCATTTCTTTAGAAACTCGCTGCGTTAATAAAGGACGCCCTTATTCTTGGGGACTTCCTGCTTCCCGGGTCTCCCGGGCCTGAGCCATCTTTCCGGAAGCTTAAAGCGAACAAGGGAGGATACAAAGGACCTCTGAGCAGGAACCCCACCAGCTGTGGCCGAAGGTACACAACATACCTGGTACCCATCCAACACAGACCCGGACGGAGACCGACCACAAGCGGCCACAAAGGGCTCCGTTCACACGGGAGGTAAAGTTTCTCCGTCCGACGGAAGGTAATTTAAGATCAGGATCTGCAGGGGCGGGCATTTCTGCTCTGGCCGCTCTGACTTCCCTCCTCTGGGCACAGCGGCCCTGCCACGGTCAGAACCAACTGTCCCGGGGGGGGATGGGGCCTGCCCCACGCAGGGAGAGCCCGCCACGTGCTTTCCCGCATTAACTCGCTTATCCCCACGAACGCACTGTCGGGTGGATGTCGCCGTGACTGTGTGTCACAGCCCACGCTCACCTCGCTGTCCACGACCCCGTTCCTGTCCCGGTGGGGAGACTCGTAGGCGTCCATCTGTTGCTTGGACACCTTGGCGAGCTTCTCGGCCAGCTCCCTCCAGCGCTGGGCCACCTCCACCGCCGTGGTCAGGAGCACAAAGTCCTGGATGAGTCTGACCACCAGGCCCTGGCAGTCCATTTTCAGTAAGGCCTGAGGACAAAGGAGCAGAGCACCGGGCAGGTCAGAGGGCTGGCTCTGGTCTCAGGCAGAGCTCCACGCGGAGGCTGCACCGAAAAACTTTTTCCTCCGAAAAGTTTTAAGCCTAGTAAGTGCCCCCCGAACTCCAGCGTGGCTGCGGCACGGGACGGATCGAGAGCAATGGCTTGCGGGGTGGCCTGGGCTTGACTGTGCTCTCCCACCAAGTTCACGGGCAGCCGGAACCTCACAATGACTGCGTTTCGAAACGGGCTTTGCAGACGTGAATTAGTTAAAACCAGGTCACGGTAGACGAGGGCCGCCCCTCAGCCAGTGACTGGTTGTCTCTATCAGGAGACATGTCCACATCGGAAGGACAGAGGCAGAGATGGGGGAGAGGCGGCCGCAGGCAGCGAGTGCCAAGGATTGCTGTCAGAGCAACCAGAGGCAGCCCCTCCCTCGCAGCTCCCGGAGGATCCAGGCCCGCGAACACCTCCAGCGCTGGGAGAGAATAAGCTTTTGTTGTCCCGGGCCACCCGGTCCGTGGTACTTTGTCTCAGCGGCCCCAGGATGCTGACTCCCGGTGGGAGGGCAGGTGAGCGCAGCTGGCCCCGTTTCTGCACCCTCGGGACGGCTGGAGAGGGCGATGCTTCGGGGAGACAGAACACACGCCCGGGGCTTAGGGGACCGGACCTAGAGCCGGGCTGACGTTAGGTGCCGCGGGCCTCGGCCGGATGCAGAGCTCCGCAGGCAGAGGGCTCAGATTGGGGCCCGCAGCTCATCCGGACATCTGGGCTCTCGGGTTTGGGGGGCAAAGTGAAGGCCTGGTGTGGAGGAAAAGGAGAACGGGGAGGCCGGAGGCTGAACCCAAGGAAGCACCATCAGAAAACTTTCTGGAACTGACAGGACTGCTCCCTTGCCTAAGCTGCAGGAACTTTCTAGTGTGTTTTCAGGACAGGAGTCTGGAGGGACTCAGGAGGGCAAGGAATGCCGGCCACCCTGGGCGGGAAGGAGGCAATGCGACAGAGGCGGGCCCTGGACCAGCTGGTGGCCACCGGGGACTTGCTTCCCCATCTAGGAAAGGGGTGGGATCAGGCCGGCTCCCAACACGGTGTGTTCTGTGCGACCCCGGGCTGGGGTCTTAAAGAAAGTCACATCAGCCGGCGTAAACCAGCAGGCCCACGCGTCTGCACACGGGGAGATGCAGAAGTCCAGCCACCCACGTTTCGTGACGGCTGCCAGGTGCACGCGGGCCTGGCACCATCCACGAGGCCTCTGCCGCCCAGCACCCTCTCGGACTACACCCCGACACCCTCAGGCGAGCATGGGGTTGGGGAGGCTGGAGGCAGAAAGGCACCTGGTGTTCGTCCTGTCCCTCCACGCTCCATGGAGCACCTGCTGTGGACACTTCCAGACTCCAAAGAGCACGTTAAGAACAACAAAGGAAGCAGCCCCTTCCCGACTGAGCCGAACACGTGGCTCGTTCGAGAACTCTGTCCGTATTTTGTGAGGATGGCGGGTGGCCTTGGATGAGTGCGGCTACGGTCTGCCGGGTCGCTAACTTTAAAGGGCGCAGCTAGGGGCGGCGCCTGGGCGGCTCAGTCGGTTGAGCGTCTGACTTCAGCTCAGGTCATGATCTCGCGGCCGGTGAGTTCGAGCCCCGCATCGGGCTCTGAGCCGTCTCTGCAGACGGCTCGGAGCCTGGAGCCTACTTCAGATTCTGTGTCTCATTCTCCCTCTGCCCTTCCCCCGCTCACACTCCGTCTCTCTCTCTCTCTCTCTCTCTCTCTCTCTCTGTCTCCCCAAAATAAGTAAACATTAAAAAAATTTTAAAACTAAACAACAAAAAAATAAAGGGCGCAGCTAATCGAGACAGAGAACCCTCATCTCGATGTCTGGGAATTTAACAGTACGGACGATTAGTGACTTTTTTTTTTTGGCAATTTCCTAAATGCATTAGTTGGATGCCCCAGCAGGTCAAGCTCTGCAATTTTTTTTTAAAGTTTATTTATTTATTTTGAGAGATAGAGAGAGAGAGAACGTGAGCGTTGGAGGGGCAGAGAGAGAGGGAGAGAGAGAATCATAATCAGGCTCCGCACTGACGTGGGGCTCGAACTCACAGACTGCGAGAGCATGACCTGAACCAAAACCGAGAGTGGACGGTCAGCTGACTGAGTCACCCAGGCACCCCAAGCTCTGCAACTGAAAACAGGGGTGACGGGTCAATCTGGTGCTGTCCCGGGTCCCAAAGCTGCAACTAGCTGCACCTGTGGTTAGCCAGAAGGCAGCTTGAGGATCCCGTGGTCCTTTTCCGGTTTGTTTTGTTTCGCAGTAGGCCACTACTAGTGAGACTTACTGTGAGCCAGGCTCATTCTGTGGGCTCATCCGCTCCTCAGAACCCCCGTGAAGCAGGGGCTGAGCTCACCCTATTTTGCAGACGAAGCCGAGAGAGTGACGGAGAGGCCCCCACCCCGACTGAGCGTCAGAGCCGGACCCG